GCTTCCAGGCAGTCCAAGAGAGCGCCAAGACGGCACAACAAGGTTCCAAGATGGCCTAAGAGAGCCCAATGACGGCCCAAGATGGCCCCCAAGACACCCTCCGCAGCATTCCAAATCGTGACCCAGTCGTTCAAGGAGACCGCGGTTGGCGGTTGGAGGCAGGGCGGCCCGAGGAAGCCCCCAGAGGCCCCCAGAAGACACCCAAACGGCCTCCAGAAGGCCTTCAGAAAGCCTGAAAAACTTCCGTGAGGCCCCCAGAGGAGGAGCATCCACAAAAAGAGCTGCGGAGGATTGGGAATAATTCGAAGGGTAGGGCGAGAATGAGGAAAAAGAAACATGAAAGAATGAGAACGAATGAGATTACTATAACGGCGATGCCAGAAAAGGCAACAAAGAGTTATCGCTAAATTGTCTGTTTGTCGCTCTTGCCATACCGCCTGCATGCCAAACTTCAAGGACCGAAGTGCATGTTTTTTGCAGTTTCCTCTCTCTCTCTCTCTCGCTGGGAACCTCGGGGGGCCTCTTGGAAGCCTCTTGGGGGGCCTCTGGAGGCCCTTTGGGGCCTGCCGCGGGCGTCTTGGGGGCCTCTTGGGGCCTCTTGGGGGTCTCTTAGGGGCCTCCTGGGGCGGGGGGGCTGGAAGGTTCAGTTGGGTTTCCCGTCTTGGGCCCCTCTTGGGGCCCTTCGGGGACTCGTTTGGGCCGTCCTGGGCGCCTCTTAGACTGTCCTGGGCCCCTCTGGGGCCGTCTTGGGGCTCTCTTGTGGGCTTCGTGGGCCGAATTGGGGCGGTCTAGGGGGAGTCTGAGGTCGTAAAGGACAGTGCGAAGGACAAAACATCGAATATGGTAAAAATATACGTTTTACGAAGAGAAGGAAGGGGGCTATTTTTGCTTCCCGGGGCTGTCTGGGGGGATCTCTCGGAGGAGTTTTCGAGCGTCTTGGAGGCGTCTGGGGCGGTTCGAAACGCCTCTTGAGCCGCCGGAGACAGCTGGAGGTTGTCTTCAGGGTGGCTCTGGGCGGCCTTGGGCCGCCTGGACGGCCGTCTGGGCGCTCCAGGGGCCGACCTGGGGCCTGCCGGGGAGCGGGCTGGGCCCGACGTCCCCCCATTTGTGGTCGAGGCTGCGGCCCCGGGCCCCCCCGGGCCCGGTGCGGCGTTGTGTGTATATATACATATACACACACATACACATACATACATACATACATACATACATGCATATATACATACCATACATTACATTGCATTACATTACAATACATTACATTACATTACATTACATTACATTACATTACATTACATTACATTACATTACATTACATTACATTACATTACACTACATTACATTACATACATACATACATACACACACATACATACATACACACACATACATACATACATACATACATACATACATACATACATACATACATACATACATACATACATACATACATACATACACACATGTATCGCTCTCTCTCTCTCTCTTTCCGCCTGCCCCCTTTGTGGGGCCACCAGGCTCCGCGGGTTACAGTAGACGTGCTGCTCCCTGCACCAGTTCCAGTTTCCAGTCTCCAACGTTCTAGCCCTCCCTTCTGCTTCCTGCGGTGAACTATTGAAGTCCGCGCGACGGGGGAGGGGAGCCGAAAAGGGCCCAGCTTAACACCACCGGGGGGGGGACCAAAATTCGTGGGGGGTCCTGGGGCACGTAAAACACGCAATACTCGCGCCCCGAGGCCAGTCCCTCGCAGAATACGTCGCACTCGCGCCGCCGAGGCTATGATTTCTCGTCAATTGCACAGAGTTGGCGTCCCCGAAGCCAGAAACCCTATCACATCAGGCTGTGGTTCGCGCTCCCGAGACCATAATTCCTAATAGGATATCAATGCTCGCGTCTCCGAGGCAATACTCTCGTAAATTATACAATGCTTGCGTCCCCGAAGCCACAATCTCTAATAAGCTGCGCGTTCTTCGCGTCCCCGGAGTTATAAACTTACGCTCTTGTAGCGTGCGCAATGTTCGCGCTTTCGAGGCCACGACCTTTCATGAAAGGCCCCCAAGACGGCACAAGAGGCCTCCGAGAAGGCCCAAGAGTGTTCCAAGGCGCCCAAGATGGTCCCAAGACGGCCCGAAAGGCTCCCACGAGGCCCCGAAGAGCGTTCCAACAGCACCCCCAAAAGGACCCCAAGAGGCCAACATCTACGATTGTTCTTCGGTTTGTGCTGGATGTTGGCACGCTCGCCTTTTCGGGCTTCCGACGCTCCAAGGCGGCCCAAGAAGCCCCCCAAGACCGCCCCAAGACGGCCCAACAGGCACTTAAGAACGTCCCAAGACGGTTCGAGAGGGCCCCAGGACGGCTCAAAAGAGCCCCAAGACGGCCCAAGAAGGCCCATGAAGGCCCCAAGACGGCCCCAAGTGTGACCCGAGACGGGGGACCCGAACCCAAGCGGCCCCTGTTCGGAGTTCCAACGCTGATTCACGACGGCGCCCAAACCTCACAACACAGCTCTTGTATACCCAACTATCCGAAAGAAGGTGCCGGCAGCAGGGGGCGCAACCCACTGCGGATAGATGTATGTGTATGTATGTATGGCAGTAGTGACGGAATGTTTATGTATGTATTTACATGTATATGTATATATACAGATATACACATGTATGCTGATTTATGTGTATATGTATCTACACATACCCATGCTAGCTAACGTGGGCCCCGAACAACACGCTGTAGCATAGCCGGTGATGCAATATATGTTGTGCAAGCTACGTGGTGAATGCTACGTGGTGCACGCTATGAGGCGCAATGAATGTCGTGTGAATCATTTGGTGCCGGGTATGTGGTGCAACATATGTAGTAGGAACTGGCGTATTCACTTGCGTGGTGTGAGCTATATGGTGTAAGAAAGGCGATGCAATATATGTGGTGCGATCTATGGGGTGTGAGCTACGTAGTACAATCTACGTGGTGATATCCATGTGCTGCGACCTATGTGGTTCAAGCTACGTGGTGCAATCTAAGAAAAGCGATCAATCACTTGCTCAATTTGAAACTGTCCTCTCCACTGCTCGTGCAAACATCCCACCCTCCCACCCGCAACTTGGTCGAAGACCTCTTAAGACCGTGACGGTGGGTACCAAATGGCACTGGGCAACGACACCGACGCCGACGACGACAGCGACAACGACGACGGCGACGACGACGCTGACAACGACTACGACGACGACGACGACGACGACGTCTCCAACGACTTCGACGACGACAACGACGACGACGACGACAAAGACGACGACAACGTCGCCGACGCCGACGATGACGACGACGACGACGATGACAACGACGACGACGACGACACCGACGACGACGACGACGAAGCCGACGACGACAACGACGAAGACGACGACGACGACGACGACGGCGTCGCCAACGAAGACGACGACGACGAAGGAGGGAGGACGACGACGACGGCAACGACGACAACGACGAAGGAGGAGGGAGGACGGCGACGACGCGAACGACGAAGAAGGAGGGAGGACGGCGACGACGACGACGACAACGACGAGGGAGGAGGGAACACGACGACGACGACGCCGACGACGACGACGGCGACGACGAAGCCGACGACGACGCCGACGATGAAGACGACGACGACGGCGTCGCTAACGAAGACAACGACGACGAGGGAGGAGGGAGGACGACGACGGCGGCAACGACGACAACGACGAAGGAGGGAGGATTGCGACGACGCGAACGACGAAGAAGGAGGGAGGACGGCGACGCCGACGATGATAACGACGAGGGAGGAGGGAACACGACGACGACGACGACGACGACGACGGCGACGACATAGGAGGGACAACGACGAGACGCCGACGACGGACGACGAGGGAGGAAGGACGACCATGGCGACAACGACGACGGAAACGACGACGACGTCAAGACGACGACGAAGACGACGAGGACGACGGAGAAGGAGGGAGGACGGCGACGACGACGACGCAAGAGCGCGCGCGCACGCTTTTGTTGAAAATCCGTGTTGCAAAACCTTGTATGTTTGTATGTTTGTGGGACACTCGATTCTAAAATCTTTCCGAAACCGACGGTTTTGAAGGATTTCGGCATGCGCGCGCGACGACGCGCGCGTGGGCACTTCGTCCCGTTTTTTGCAAAGGGTTCTCGCGACGGCACGCGCGCAATGGCGTTCGAAAGATTTCGGCATGCGCGCGCGAAGCCCGTTTGGTAGTACTTTGTGAATAATATTGAGAAACCGACGGTTTCTTAGGATTTCGCAACAACGCGCGCATTTTTTTAGCTGATCAGTGTTGCGAAACCTTGTGTTTTTGTACGTTTTGGGGAAACTCGATTTTGAACTCCTTCCGAAATCTAAGGTTTTTGAAGGATTCCGGCATGCGCGCGCGACGACGCGCGCGTGTGCACTTCGTCCCGTTTTTTTGCAAGGGATTCTTGAAAGTTTATGATCTTTGATGAACGACTGCGCGCGCATAGAAGTTTTTTGCAAAGGATGGCGGGGGGAGTGATACAGGCCTGGCTGGGATAGTATGACTTCACAGGTAGGATGAACGAGTGTGCAGAATAAATATGATATCACAATACCCAAGGGGGGACCGTTAACTCCGGGGAGGGGGGGGGGGGTAGAGTCACTCTCTTGGCCATTTCTAGCGACGACTCTCTCTCTCTCTGCCCTTTCTTTCTCTCTCCCACTCTCTATCTCTCTCTCTCTCTCTCGCTCTCTCTCTCTCTCTCTCTCTCTCTCTCCCTCTATCTCTCGCACTTTCTCTTTCTATTTCTCTCTCTCTCTTTCTCCCTCTCTCTCTTTCTCTCTCTCTCTCTCTCTCTCTTTTTTTCTCTCTCTCTCTCTCTCTCTCTCTCTCTCTCTCTCTCTCTCTCTCTCTCTCTCTCTTTTTCCCTCTCTCTTACGTTCTTCCCCTGGCATTTTTCTACTCGCGGTGGCGCGCAGACAACATCTCACCAAACGCGGCCCTGCGACCTGGCCAAGGCGACGGCCGAGCCGAGCTCGAGAAACATATCTGGGCAGCTGGCGCGCCCGTAGCGCCACGCCCAGAAGTGCACCCAATTCTCGAGCTGATCCTTCGACTCACTGCTGCGCGTGTTCATGGTGGCAGGGGCGACGTTCTTCACGTGCGACCAAAGCCCGCCCTGGAGCTGCGCCCCGCCGTAGCAGCACAAGACGTCGCCCCCACTGAGGGTCAGCGTCTTGACGGTCGCCCAAATGCGCTTGGCGTGTTTGACCTTCGTGTGGTTCATGAGACGCCGGTAGCAACGCGCTCCGTCAGTGTGCCAGATCAGCACGTCGGCCCCCGTGTGAGCTGAGATCAGCGGCTCGGTCTCATCCGTGCTCTCGGGGCGCGTCGGGCCGCCCCGGGCCGCGTAGTGCGCCGGCAGCATGTGCACGACGGCTTGTTCGTGGTTCCCGCGCTTGCACATGCCGAACACGCGGACGTGCATGTTGCGCCCGTTCTTGAGCTGGACCACGCGCAGGGTCGTGGCGTCGGTCTCGCACTGGCCGCTCAGCGCGATCGACTTCTGTTCTTCCCTCGAAGCAGCCGATATGATCTCTAGCAAACTCTGCCTGATCGACTCGCGCTGCTTGTGGCCCAACTTGGCGATGAGCGCCATGTCGGCTGTGCTCATGCGGGACGTCAGGGCGCCGCGCCACAGTAAAGCGACGCCTGCCAGTTTCGGCGGCGGCACCTCCACGTCCGCCCACGTGCCGCTCGTGACCTTCACTTGCACCGAGGACGGCGAGCAAGCCTTGCGCTGGCACCTCTGGACTGGGTGCCGCTTCTCGCCCCTGTGGATCACAGACCCCAATGGCCATCCGCACTTGGGGCAAACGTTTTCGGCGGGGTCGCCGAGGTACCCCGCCTGGACCATCAAGTTGTAAGCATCCTTGGTATTCAGAGCCCTGAGGTCCTCGTACGTGTAGATCTTGGCCAAGGAAGACCGGCCGCGCCGCGCGCGGGCCACCCGCTGGCGCTTGGGCGTGTAGAACACGCCCGCGGCTTCCAGGCGCTTGCGCTTGGCCTGGGCCGCCTTGCGCGCCTTCCGCGCCTTGGCCAGGATGTCGCGGCGGCGCGAGGCGGCCTGCACCGAGCGCTTGTTGCGACGTTTCTGGGGGAAGCGCTGCCCTCGCGCGCCGCTTCGCCCCCTGGCAGCGGCCGCCGGCTTCCTCATCGGCGCGGCTTTCGGGGCGGGCTTCACGACGGTCTTCATGGCGGATTTCATCGCCGACTTCGCCATGGGCCCTGGCGCCTGGCCGCCCGCTGCCAGGTCAAGAAGCATTCGTTCCGGCGAGTCTGAAGGCAATTCCACGGCCGAAATCTTGAACTGAGCCAGATATTTTGAATCTGCACATGCCGACCAGCACCGACGCACGGTCGAAATCTTGGTCGCGTAAGTCTTCTCTCCCACGAAGAGATGGCAGACGTCGTGCTCGAGCAGGGTCGCGGCCGCGCACTGCGGGTGGTCGCCATTTTCGACGTGGGTCAGATACTTGCCCTCTCCAGTCGGAAAATCCAGCGAAGGCGCCAGGAACTGCTTCATCAGTTTGCGGCAGCTGTCGTACGTCCGAACCTGGCTCTCTGCAGCGTCCTTGTTCACCTTGTTGCGCCTGCTCGCGATCGTCGCCGCTGCGCCGACGTCGTCTGTCAGCCTGGCCATCATGAGGATGATGCAATTGCCAGCTTTCAATGGCACCGGGCGAATAGCGGCATCGCCCTGCCCCACGGTCTCCGCGTCGCCGACGTGCACGTCCAAAAAACGCGCATCGGTCTTCAACGCAACCTCTACGGAATACTCGGTGGCCTGCAGAATCGCCCTCTCCGAGTCGGCCTTGAACGCTGCCCGATCTCCCACTCGCCCAGGGTCGACCATGACGCCGTCGAAATGCAAACTTAAGTGCTGCACGGTCTCTGTTTTTTATAAAATCGACCCATGCAGATAAAACGCAATCTTCGACGAAAGTCCACGTGTAGAACCGCGCAGTCGCAACAGGGCTCCTCCGAGAAACATCGTCGACGAAGGTTTTGTGCATCTCGTGGTTCAATGAGACGGCAAACCGCCGAAGATAAATGCCCTCACGTCGCAACGCCACGAGGAAGCCATTCTCGGCGAGATCGTCGGGCAGATTGCCGCCGCAGAAGACGGACACGCGCGCGTCTTTAGTGTCGTCTGCGTTCAAGCCGAGTTCATCGCATACTGACGCCGCGTCCGTGGTGTCCTGGGCCGCGGCCAAGCCCTCCGCCTTGCCCTCGGCCTTGGCCTTGCGCAGCTGACGCCTTTTTTTTCGGCGGCGCGCCGACGGGGAGGGAGAGAGGAAAGGGCCAGCCTTCTCGGAAAACAGGAAGCGCCTTAAGAAACGTTCTGTTTCTTTCAGAGGCTGTCTAAGCAGCGTCCCAAAGAATCTAAAAACCATGTTTCCTGGAAAGCCAACTCCTTGTTCTCCCCTTACCGGGTGCGCCGCCAAGCCTTAGGCGCGCCGCTTCCTCCACCACGTTGTCCAGCTTGTCGTTTTTCTTCTTGGCCCTGTCGTAGGCCTTGCGGTTGTTCTCCGCTGCGCGCTGGGTGGGGATGCAAATACATAGTGTTGCGTTTTGGTATGTTGCGTGGAAGTGTCGGGTTGCCGTTGTCGTGATGTTGCTTTCCAGTGTGTGTTCGTTGCCGTGCTGTGCTGTTTGCTGTTGAGAGTTGCGTTAACAATTGTGTGCCTGTTTCATTGGATGGGAAGTGATCCACATCCACAATACCTCGGCCACGAACTTGTCGCGACGTAGAAGGAACAAGTCCTTCTTCTGGCTCTTGACTGTTTTGGCAAGCTCGGCCTTATCACGCCTAAGCGTTGCACATGTGTTGTGGAACTTGCGGAGGTGCCTCTGTGCAGCGTCCTTGAGGTATTGCTTAACCAAACGTTTGGCCACCCACTTCATCAATGAGGCCGTCCTTTTACGATCTCGGCACCTATCGGTTTTCTCCTTGATCGCTTTTGCTGATGAAGCTGGCATGGCGTGCCGCGGCGCCGGCGCGGGAGAGAGAAGCAAAACAAACATTGAAAACCAAAGCCGAATACACTACTGACGAAGAAGAGAAGATAAGGAGGTTGAAGAGGAGAGGGGCTATAAGATCCAAGTAGCGTGAAATAGCACAAGCTCCAGATAATGAGTCGGCCGGGTCAGCAACAGAAGAGGCGAAACAGAGAGTGAATGATGCTCATCACTCATCGTACCCCCTCCTCCTTCCGCCCACTCTCCTCGACGATCCTCCTCCTCGTCCTCACTCCTCAAATCTAGCTCCTCATCCTCCACCTCATCATGAGCGGGATCGCACTCATCTCATATTGCTCCTCATCGTCATCATCATCATCACCATCATCATCATCATCGTCATCATCATCGTCGTCGTCATCATCATCATCACCATCATCATCATCATCATCATCATCATCATCATCGTCATCATCATCATCAGCAGCATCATCATCATCGACATCATCATCATCACCATCACCACCACCATCACCATCACCATCACCATCATCATCATCATCATCATCATCATCATCATCATCATCATCATCATCATCATCATCATCATCATCATCGCCATCATCATCATCATCGCAATCATCATCATCAGCATCATCATTACTATCCTCATCATCGTCAGTATCATCATCATCACCACCATCGTCATCACTTCGACATCCAGCCTCCAACATCCGACGTTCCACACCAGTCCCAGTTTCATCAACACTTCGACGACCAGTCCCAGGCCGACTACTGAAGGCTCCGCCCCCCCCCGCCGCCCTCGTAGGGCTGGTCCCCACCGGACCGACATCGCGCGTTCGCTCGCTCGGTATCCCCCTCTTCCTCCTCCTCCTCTTCCTCATCGCCTGTCTTTCTTCACTTCTCGTTCCTCCTCCTCTTCTTCCTCCTCCTCCTCCTCATCGCGCCCGGAGCGGGAGAGCGGGAGGGAGGAAGGGCGGGAGTGCGGGAGTGCGGGAGAGCGGGAGTGCGGGAGAGCGGGTTACAAAAGGATTCCTTCTGTCGCGGGTTACAAAAGGATTCCTTTTGTGGTGGATTACAAAGGGATTCTTTTTGTGATGGATTACAAATGGATTCGTTTTGTGGCGGATTACAAATTGTTTTCTTTTGTGGAGGATTGCAAATTGATTCTTTTTGCGGCGGATTACACTTTGATTCCTTTTGTGGCGGGTTACAAAGGGAATCCTTTTGTGGCGAATTACAAAGGGAATCCTTTTGTGGCGGATTACAGTTTGATTCCTCTTGTGGCGGATTACAAAGGAAATCCTTGTGGCGAATTACAAAGGAAACCCTTTTGCGGCGGATTACAATTTGACTCCTTTTGTGGCGAATTACAAAGGGAATCCTTTTGTGGCGGATTATAAATTGATTCCTGTTGTGGCGGATTACAAAAGGAATTCTGTTGTGGCGGGTTACAAATTTATTCCTTTTGTAGGGATCTTTAGCGGCCTGAACCTGCGAGAGGTTCCCAAGTTTTTTTTTTTTTTTTTTTTTTAAAAAAAAAAAAAAAAAAAAAAAAAAAAAAAAAAAAAAAAAAAAAAAAAAAAAAAAAAACTATATCTTTAAACATAATAAAACAAGGCTTCGCCTGATACGCCCTCAAAAATTTATAAATCCAGTGGGTTTAGCTGATGTAAAAACCAAAGGGAGTCTCAAGCGAAACTGTGTTTTTTGCTGTGTGAAGTCAATGTGAAAACAATGAAAAAGCAGGTTTCGCTTGAGACCCCCTCTGGATTTTACAGCCGCCAAGCTCAATGTATTTATAAAATGTTGAGAGGGTCTCAAGCGAAACCTGGTTTTCCTTTGAACAAAAATCAGGAAATTCAAAAAAAATACAAATCCTGGGAACCTCAAACAGGTACAGACCGCCCAAGATCCCCACAAAAGGATTCCCTTTGTAACTCGCAACAAAAAGGTTTCCTTTGTAATCCGCCACAAAAGGAATCAATTTGTAATCCGCCACAAAAGGATTTCCTTTGTAATTCTCCACAAAAAGATTCCCTTTGTAATCCGCCACAAAAGGAATCAATATGTAATCCTCGACAAAAGGATTCCATTTGTATTCCGCCACAAAAGGAATCAGTTTGTAAATCCGCAACAAAGGAATCAATGTGTAATCCTCTACAAAAGGATTCCATTTGTAATCCGCCACAGAAGGACTCCTTTTGCAATCCGCCACAAAAGGAATCAAGCTGTAATCCGCCACCACGGAATCAATGTGTAATCCGCAACAAAAGGAATCAATTTATAGTTCGCCACAAAAAGGATTCCCTGTGTTACCCGCCACAAAAAAACTGTAATCCGCCACAAAGGAATCAATGTCTAACCCGCCACGAAGAGGAGGACGATGACGAAGACAAAATAGTCGCCATCTAAATGGGCCAAGAGAGTGGCCCACGGGAGTCCCACGCCCGTGTATTCTTTTAGTAAAAAAAGGAACCTATGCGGCGCGAGCTATAGGTGCGAGTTTTAGTGGTGCAATCAACGCAGTGCAACCTATGTAGTGTGAGGTATGTCGTGTGAGCCACGTGGCGCAGTAGAAGTGGTGTAATATACGTGGTGCAGTCTATGTGGTGCGATTGATTTTTTACCCATGATTTGACACATCCCACTCTCTTGCAAACATCCTACCCACCCACCCGCAACTTGGTTTGCAAAACCTCTTAAGACCGACTACGACGACACCGACGACAACGACTACGACGACACCGACGACGTCTCCGACGACTTCGACGACGACGACGACGACGACGCCGACGACGACGCCGACGTCGACGACGACGAAGACGACGACGACGCCGACGCCGACGCCGACGACGACGACGTCGCCAACGAAGACGACGACGAGGGAGGAGGGAGGACGACGACGGCGACAACGACGACAACGACGAGGGAGGAGGGAGGACGGCGACGAAGCGAACGACGAAGAGGGAGGAAGGACGGCGACGCCTACGACGACAACGACGAGGGAGGAGGGAAGACGACGACGACAACGACGACGACGACGACGACGGCGACGAAATAGGAGGGACGACGACGAGACGCCGACGACGACGACGACGACGACGACGAGGGAGGAGGAGGAAGGACGACCACGGCGACAACGACGACGGAAACGACCACGACGCCAAAGAGGACGACGACGACGAACACGAGGAAAGACAGAGGACGACATAGGCGACGACGGCGACGACGCGGGAGAAGGGAGGACGGCGACGACGACGACGACGCAAGAGTGCGCGCGCACGCTTTTGTTGAAAATCCGTGTTGCGAAACCTTGTGTTTTTGTAGGTTTTTGGACACACACGATTTTGATACCCTTCCGAAACCGATGGGTTTTGAAGGATTTCGGCACACGCGCGCGACGACGCGCGCGTCTGCACTTCGTCCCATTTTTTGCAGAGGATTCTCGCGACGGCACACGCGCAAGGGCGTTCGACAGATTTCGACATGCGCGCGCGAAGCCCGTTTGGTAGCATTTTGTGAAAATCTGGAAAAACCTATGGTTTTTCTGAAGATTTCGCAAGAGCTCGCGCGTAAGCTTTTTTAGCAAATCAGTGTTGCGAAACCCGGTGTTTTTGTATGTTTTTTGGGAACTCGATTGCGAAATCCTTCCGACACCGAAGGTTTTTGCAGGATTTCGGCATGCGCGCGCGACGACGCGCGCGTGTGCACTTCGTCCAATTCTTTGCACAGGATTCGTGAACAAGTCTTATGTTAGAACAAAAATGTCCCCGCGCATTGTTTTCTAAAAGGGAACCTCAGGGGGACCGATACAGGTTTCCCTGGGATAATGTAAATTCAGATTTATGATGGACATGTGGTCAGAATGCTATATGATTTACATACCCGAAAGAGGGACCGATAACGCCGGGGGGGGTAGAATCTACTCTCTTTTTAGAAAAGAGAATCTACGCGGTGCAATCTACGTGATACAATCTATGGGGCGCGATCTATGTGGTGTAATTCACTTTGACTGTCTTGAAACTGTCATCTCCACTGCTCGTGCAAACATCCCGCCCTCCCACCTGCAACTTGGTCGCAAGGCCTCCTGAGATCGTGGCGGTAGGTAACACATGTTGGCACTTGTAACCGACGCCGACAACGACAGCGACAAGGACGACGACGACGACGCCGACGACGACTACGACGACACCGACGACGACTCCGACGACTTCGACGACGACGACGACAACGACGACAACGACGACGACGACACCGACGACGAGGACGACGACGCCGACGCCGACGACGACGACGATGACGTTGCCGACGACGACGAGGACGACGCCGACGCCGACGCCGACGACGACGACGCCGACGACGACGACGACGAAGACGACGACGACGACGACGTCGCAAACGAAGACGACGACGACGGCGAGGGAGGAGGGAGGACGACGACGGCGACAACGACGAAGGAGGAGGGAGGACGGCGACAACGACGATGACGACGACCACCACGACGACGGCGATGAAATAGGAGGGACGACGATGAGACGCCGACGACGGACGACGACGAAGACGAGGGAGGAGGACGGACGACCACGGCGACGACGACGACGGAAACGACGACGACGCCAAAGAGGACGACGACAACGACGACGAGGAAAGACAGAGGACGACGACGGCGACGACGACGACGACGAGGGAGGAGGGAGGACGGCGACGACGACGACGACGACGCAAGAGCGCGCGCGCACGCTTTTGTTGAAAATCCGTGTTGCGAAACCATGTATTTTTGTATGCGTTTTGGACATTCGATTTTGAAATCCTTCCGAAACCGAATGTTTCTGAAGGATTTGGGCATGCGCGCGCGGCGACGCGCGCGTCTGCACTTCGTCCCATTTGTTGCAGAGGATTCTCGCGACGGCACGCTCGCAATGGCGTTCGAAAGATTTCGACGTGCGCGCGCGCGAAGCCCGTTTGGTAGTGCTTTGCGAAAACATTGAAAAACCTAT